AATTCATAATTTTCGGATCGACTTTTAGACGTGTTAAGACTAGTTTCTTCTGGATTTTTCTCCCTCTCGGGAGTTATTTGGCCCGACACTAAAAAATCAATGCGTTTCTCTTTATTCTGGCGCTGATTAGTTTGTACATAATTTTGCCAATCGTTTTGAACGCTATTCCTATTGGTACATGGTCGGTTCACTGATGTATTTCGTGGACGGCGATTTTGTTGGTAGTTTCCTCTACCAGACTGTGGATTCGCTGTTCGACGTTTTTGAGACGAAGCATTGCGTACTACTTCTGCATATGATTTTTGTTCTCCTCTCTTCGACAGTGATCGACTTCGACTTCTTGAAGTGTTTGTCGGCGGTTTTTTTTTCTGGCTGCCGAATTCGAGCGTCTGCGATTGGTTATCTTCTTTGGTCCACTTGGTTGTCTTCTGGTAATTTGACTAATTTGAAGTTTTGATCGTTGTTGCCGTTTCTTGTATTTTTTCGTTTTCCCACGATTATCTTCAATGGACTGCTCTTTACCGTAATTTTTACATAATTCTCTAAGAATTCTTGCTTCTTTTGCCATATATTACGGGATTTTTCCTCTTCTTTGGAAATATCACGTGTCCAAATTTCCTTCAGCCAATCAGTTATTATTTCCGTTGATATTTTCTGTATTCCCGCCACCATTTCAGCATCAATTGCGTTATACTTCTCTGTGTAGCGAGTTTGTTTATTAAAGATAATTGAAATTTCTGTTTGAAATTGTTGAATTGCCAAATCCCAACGGAGTTTCGTGTTTTCGACAGGTTCAGCTTCAATTTCTTTAATCAGAAATTTTCTTGGAAGAATCGGTGATTCCATGGTTATTCATCGTGAATAAACCTCTGCGTATTTTTCACATTTGTAAGCATTCCTGAAATTTTGTTTTCGATCGTTTAGATTTCTTCTCCATAATGTTGAGATTTCCTTTCTTTTACGAAATGCTTCTTTTTCTAAATTAGCATCATTTAGTAGTTCATCTACGGGAATTTGCCTAGTTGTTTGAGGTATACTAGCAATTGTATCGGACAAGTGTCTCATTTCTGAATTTAGCGCCTCTTGGATTGGTCGTAAATCAGATGAGTTCTTTACCATATCTTTAAGAATTGAAGTATGGAAGTCTACCTTTGTAACTAATATACTTAGCTTAATGAGTATCTCCCCAAGAAGTATTTCTGTTTCGTTTATTTTCTTTGTAGCTCCTTGGCACATACACAATAAATATATAAAGATCACTATAATAAATGTTCTTGTGTATAGAAATATATATAGATTACTAATAAATCCAACATTTCCGGAATGAATAGTTTTACTTCACAAGTACTTTCATGTTTTTACATGACAATCTTCAGGTGAAACTATACATGATTAACGTAACTATGTAAAGGTAGGTATGTAACGTCATAGTTGTCGTTGAGTATATAAATCGTATTACACTATATATAGAAGTATGGAACGTCATGATCACAGAATAAAAAATGCATACTTTGCATTCAATCGTGATTTGAGTTTTGAAATAAAATATTTTTCCTTTATTTTCCGTGTAATGTCACAACCCATATTACATGTAATTTTATAAAATGGGAATATTTTAAAAAATCCCCCGCCACATTCGTCTAAATGTATGCTAGGGGGGATTTTTCTGTATTCTGGCTGCCGTATATGCTGTCTATGAATTCGCACTCTTTGGGTAACACTGTTCCCTGTTTATATATATATATATATTTAATTCGTCCAAATATCAGCCCAACAATGTTAGATCTGTAAATTTGCGGAAGCAAATTTTTTTGTTCTTCCCTGGCCGGGATTCGAACTCATGCTACTGTGATATCGTGGCACCTAAACGCCTTGCACTATGCCCGACGCGCTAGACCACTCGACCACCTAGGCTCTACAATAATAAAGCTTTCGGTGGCCGGGTGTTACCTTTCCTCGTCAGTTTTTATCTAGCGTCGTAACACAGTACATGATATATAAGGCAAGGAGATGGAATTTTTACAGATCAGCTGAATTAACTATAATAGAGGATCTTACAAATTAATCATGTTAATGTAGGATGCAGTCACAGAAATATTTATATTATAAGTACGTCTGAACCAGTGACAACTCTACGACAGATTTTTTCCATCGGATCACCAGTGATGGTGATACAAGGCTGAAAACACATTCTGTATATATAATTCGTCTAAATACCAGCCCAACAATGTTTGGTCCTCCCTGGCCGGGATTCGAACTCATGCTACTGAGATATCGTGGCACCAAATCGCCTTGCACTATGTCCTAATATATATTAAATGACTGAATAATAGCCAACGATAAATCTTACGGGGCGATGGATCATATAATTCTGATACAGTACACTACAAAATATAATATATAACAAGTCTAAAAGGCTACAACATCACCAAAAAATCATAAAATCATGAACAAATGTTAACTTATATCCTCCATCAGTAAGATGTAAAATGAATCTTATCTTGACATGTGGTAGTCAAACTAAAATAGTAATCTTGATCGTTACAAATGTATACAAATTATCAATAATCAATACGCTGGTAATTTTTTTCTATATTGAAGTTTGGGAGGAGGAATAAATTCCTTAAAACTGTAAGAGTCCAGTACGGAAGCCTGAGTTACAGGAAACAAGTGAAGGTAGGAAAATGAGTGATGGTAGGGACAATGACTTATTCTATGTTTTTCATTTATGCACTCTGGGGAAACTGTCTTTAACTTTCTTTTCCAAAACCTTTCCCGAACAAGTCTAGATCTGTTGGCCCTTGACCAACCCTTGTTGTGGTCTATGAAAGTGATGGTAAAGTTTTTGAGATCAGCTTGGGCGTGCCCAGGTGATCTCAAATGACGCCTTACGGGTAAGTCGGGCCTGCATGTGTAGTCACTTCGATGACCATTCATGCGTTTGTTGAATGGCTGGTCTGTCTCGCCAATATACTTCATGCCACTCCGACACTGAAAAAGGTATACAACATTTTGAGTTTTGCTAGTTACATTGCAAAATATAGTGTACACAGACCCAGTGGAGTGGCAAGTAAATGTTTGAGTATTCAGTATTTGTTGGCAAGTCAGACATCGTCTGTTACCACACGACTTGCACCATCCTGCAGTAAGAGGAGACATCAGCTCGCACAAATAAGTCTTTCAGACTTGCTGGTCTTCGAAAAGCTAGGACAGGAGGTTTATGAAAGATCTTGAATAATTTTGGTAGCTTGGCAATAATCTGCCAACTGGCACGGATCAAACACGAAAGGTTAGTAAATGCGGGCTTGTATGTTAAAACAAACGGAACTATTTCGCTGCGCCTCTTCTGTTTGTACTGTAATAAGTCATTGCGGCTCTTATTGTTAGCACGCATAAAACCCCTTATCTATGTCCCATTTCTTATAACCTCGTTTGGTCAAAAATCCGCGAAGTTCCTGTAACTGTTTATTGACAGCCTCCTCAGGGGAGCAAATCCGCTTTACTCTGAGAGCTTGACTGTATGGGATATTTTTTGTACAGTGTTTGGGGTGACAGCTTTGGGGAGAAAGGTACTGATGTTTATCTGTAGGTTTATAGTAGAGGTCTGTTGATTTGACACCGTCCTTTATAGATGTAGTTGTGTCTAAGAAAGATATTTAAGAGTCGGATTTCATATGTAAATTTTATTGACTGGTGGGCGTTGTTTGCATGTCTGATAAACTCATCCAGTTCTTGTTGGGATTCAATCCATTTCATATCAACATCATCGATGAAACGGAACCAAGACAGAGTTTTGGATAAAGATGGTGAAATGATTTGTTTCTCTAATTTGCCATTGAAAATATTGGCGTGAGACGGTGCCATTTTCGTCCCCATCACTGTCCCGTTTATCTGAAATAATGTTCACCATTATAAGTGACATTGTTGCATTTCAGAACAGAGTAAGCAACTTGACTAAATATTAGGTTGGTAGTTCTAAAGTGTTGCGCGAGTCGCATATTTCCTTACACGATTGTATTCCGTCATCATGAGGTATGTTGGTATACAATATATATATATATATATATATATATATACAAGTCTAAATTGAAAACAACGTTCTATCCTATGATTGCGTTGGATAAAAACCGCAATTTTTATACGTGTGCATGCAAAACAAATTTCTTGGTAGAGGGGTCTAAATACAGCACAAACAACATTTTCTAAAAGACCAAATGAGTGAAAAAGTATATTTGAACAAATCGCATTTGACTAGCAGGTCGAACAACTGATGTTCTTTAACCCTGCTGACTGCCATTGGCGATTGCCAAAAAAACGGATCACCGATGTAATAAATGGATCTCAATTACAAATTAAATACTAAACAGAAAACAATAAACTTGCGGAAAAGATGGTATACCGCAAACAAAAGGTGCAAAGGTTTTTGTACACCATATCCGGATTTCGACAATTAATGTCTCTTCAGTGATGTTGGGAATCGACACGGTATTTGGAAGGCCATATAATTTACCTCAATTTAGGATAGACTCTTGAATTTTGAAAGAGTCAAAATAGGATGAACGGATCATATAAACCCAAAGGCAAATATAATACAAGCCCAAACGAAAAAAATATAAACAAGTCTAAATTGAAAACAACGTTCTATCCTATGATTGCGTTGGATAAAAACCGCAATTTTTATACGTGTGCATGCAAAACAAATTTCTTGGTAGAGGGGTCTAAATACAGCACAAACAACATTTTCCAAAAGACCAAATGAGAGAAAAAAGTATATTTTAACAAAACGTATTTGACTAGCAGGTCGAACAACTGATGTTCTTAAATATATTACAATCTTTCCGATTCATTGCTGGCGGAATCTACAAAATTGAAGTTAAAATATCGTAATTTAAACAAGAAGTGAGAGTAAATATAACGTGGATATTTGCGACATTTTCCAAATATGAAAATATGAAAATATGACACTGAATACTTTAAAAAAAATGAAAAATAAATCATACCATCTGCCAATGACGGGTTTATCAGGACTATTAGAAGACATACCCTGTCTCTACATACTTCCATATTTCAATAGCCTGGAATAGAGAAATTATTATAAGTTATATGATTGAAAAGCTTATAAATATTTCTGCAAATAAAATTCGTTAGATACGAATTAAAACGCTGTTCTTGGTCTGCAAAGACATAACTATAGTATTAAAACTGCGCCAGAGCTGAAATAGCAATGGGTAATTTGAAATTATGTATCTTTACCAGTTCAATGAGAAATACAAGAAGTCGCATATCAACATTAATATCGCAAAAAAATCCCATGAAACACATTGAATTCTCCAAAACTGTCTTGCTACGTGTATGTTTTACCATGCTTAGGCTAATTATATTAACGTATATTGGAAAATGTACTACTTGTTATCATTTGACAGTTAATAGTTTCTGTTGTTTATCAAAGTAAAATATAGTTTTTAGTGCTTTTGCTTCAAGTGTACCATAAATTAGCTAGAGTAATGCATACATAAAACCAGTGACTGTATTTGAAATTAAGCGTCACTTCTTTTTCTTTTTTTGGGGGGAATGCATATATGGGTATGCGTGGTTTTGCCAGGAATAATTTAAAAGAATTAAAATAATTCAATTACACAAGACAGTTAGACCATAAAATTCGACACAATGCTAGTTTGGAAGAAAGACTTTTACTTTGTAAAGAGGTTTTACATTCAAAATGTATACTGGGAAGGGAGAAAATGTCAAAGAGAGCACTGGAACGGTAAAAAGACATAACACCATGATACTACATGTAAAAGTACAAACTCTAATTTATGGCTTTTATTTTTTACCTTTCCTGGCACTCTCACTGGTAAACGAACTTCAGCCTCAAACAGTCACTTTGATCTGAACATCATCTGCAAAATCAGAACAATAAATTAAGTAGTCATTTTTTGTCTTACATGTATGAATAGGAGGTTTAGCTATCTATAAAACAAGGTCTAATCTACAGTTGTCTTCTAAAAATGCAAGTACCAAGTCATGAATAAAGGCAACAGTAGTATACCGCTGTTCAAAAGTCATAAATCGACTGAGAGAAAACAAATCCGGGTTACAAACTAAAACCGAGGGAAACGCATCAACTATAAGAGGGAAACAAAAGATCACTGAAGTGCAACAAAAAAAACAAACGACAATGCAACATACATAGACACGAACTATGAGATAACAATTGCCATATTTCACACTTGGTACAGGACATTTTAGGAAAAAATGGTGGGTTGAACCTAGTTTTGTGGCTAGCCAAACTTCCGTGCTTTATGGCAATGTTAACCATACCGCTAAAATGACAACATTACATGACGGGAACACAGTACTATTAAATGCAAGAACACCTAAGACTGAGAAATACATAAATACATAATATAATAGTACATTTCGACATGTGACAGTTATTCTACATTTGTCTTGTTGGTTGATAAAGTCAACCGTTAGATTTTGTCAGCTTTCAGGGAATTTATCTTTTTGAATTTATCTTGGAGCTTGGTTTTATCATTGGGGTTAGTTCAATTGGAACTTTAAACTTCTCCTTTGGAAACTATTATTCCTTGATTCTTTTTGCTGAAAGGTAATCTGTCATTCGGGATTTAGAATAAACAGATTTTAGTAACAGACAAATATGTAATTGAAATAACGCGCTTCGGACCCATGAAATTTATAACGTTTTTTTTCATTTTTTCTATACAGGGTACATCGTTGTATGTGTACTTTATTATTAAAAGCTTGTACATGTGCACAAAAAATAGAAACACAGCTATACCATGTATACTTCTGGACTTGCATGCTGTTTTCTGCTCTTTGGTCGGGTTGTTGTCTCGTTGACATGTTCCTCGTTTCCATTCTCAATTTCATTTTTAGTATTTCAAACAATTTTAATTTGAACGTTGCAGTAGGAATAAACTGATAAATAAATCTAATAATAAATGGCATGAAAAAACCTGAAAGGATTAGGATTCACTCGCTGGACACAAACGCATAATAACTTATTATTATGATTTACTGAAAAAAATGTGCTTTTATTCTGAAAAGATGACTGATCTATCATATTAATCCTTCCATATTCATATTTCAGAATTTGGACATTTTCATAAAAGCCAATCCTTAATGAATCAACCTTACAATGTCATTATAATTCTAATAAAACGTTCATGTTCAGATGCCTATAGTTTCAGACCAAAAAACCAAATCTATCTTTTAAATTTACAATACATATATATTCTTTCATCTTTATTTTAACATAGGAAAGGTCCCAATCATAGAATGGTATATCTTTTCTGTATTAAAAAACAAATTCATAGTTTTTGAATCTGCTCAGAGCCTGGCATTAAAACAAGACAGACAACTGTATATATTAAAAAAAGAACGAATATGTTGTTCTGATATATCAAAAGCATAACATATTATAAGTTTGATGACCGAAGTTAATCCATTGATTGATGTTACACTAAACGGTATATGGCAGATGCTTGATTGATTGAATGTTGGTTGATTAATATCCAGTGATAAGTATGACATGCATTTTCAGGACGAGACCAAATTACAATAAATACAAAAGGTGAATCCTGTATTAGAGTGTATCCGGTATGAAAGACGGGGGAATTTGAAAAAATTGAAGTAGACCAAGAGTGACTATATTTTTGTTTACAAGTCACTTATTAGGATATATCTGGAAAATGTTTAATACATAATCCCGAAAAAAAAATCCCATAAACATTAATAAATATGTAATTGACCTGTGCCATATGAATAAATAAACTCATCATAGATACCAGGATTGAAATTTTATATTTACGCCAGACGCGCGTTTCGTCTACAAAAGACTCATCAGTGACGCTCGAATAAAAAAATGTTAAAAAAGCCAAATAGAGTACGAAGTTGAAGAGCATTGAGGACCAAAAATTCCTAAAAGTTTTGCTAAATATGAAAGGATTCTAGTGTCACTATTATCAGATACAACAAAACAATCAGAAACTTGAAAAAAAACCACTAATCAAGTATAATTAAGGATTACCCTTCCCCTTTTTAAGTTGGAATACTGGCTATCATTTTACTTAAAACCATGTTTTTTATCTGTTTTTTTTTTTTTGTTTTTGTTTCTTTTCTTTTAATTTCTTCTTAGTACTAATCTTGAGTAGAAATGAAAAAAATAATCAAAGATAAGTTAATGACCAGCATTTGAAAACAAAACATTTTTTTTTAAATAATTATTTGTTTAAGTAATAAAAAAATATTATTGTACATGATGTACAATGTATTCAATTGTTTGTTTTAATAATAAATTAAATTATTATCAATTATAACAGTTACTTATAATCATGCACAAGATATGTTTAAAGAAACTATATTGCAAGCAATTTACCAAGACTATTTCTGAACAAAATCAATCCTTTTACAATGAATTTCTTATAACAAAGTTGCACAATCTATTATTATTCAGGAAAACTATAAATATCATTAAATGGTTTAGAAAAAAAAACAGTTTTGCTTATCACAATCTTTTTTCAAATCTCAAAGAAGGAATTGTGGATGAAGAATCGCTAAAGAGGACTTTAGTTTTCAAAATGCTCATCCAAATGTTAATTAAAAATTCTAATTATAATGAAAAATGATCTTATCACTCAGAATAAAGTGAATCTTATGAAAGGAAAAGAAAAAAATGTCTTGCTATTTGAAACTATTGTAAATTTATGAAATATGTTATCTTCAGTTGAGCAAATTTCTGTCAGTTAACAGCCAAAATTTGTCTCTAGAAAAAAATCAAGTATACTTCTATATATTGTGACATTTATGGTATATTAATTTAATCACTTTTTGTTATTTGTATTGTATTGTGGAAACTGCTGGACTGGCATGATTTATATTCATGGTATACGTTTGCCAAGAATATTTCATTCATCCCAGGCCTTTTAGATAAGGTTAATAATTGCAGGGACCTGAATGAATTAGAATTTTTAAAGCCCTTGAATAAAAATGAATTTACAGAAAAATATAAAGATATTTTAGAAAATAGAATTAAAACTTTTGAGGAAAACTTAACTGTAAACTCAAACATTTGTCAAATGATTCAGTAACTAAAGAATACACAAATGTAATATAACAAAGATGTACTATCTATTATTATTCAGGAAAACTACAAATATCATTAAATGATTTAGAAAAAAAAACAGTTTTGCTTATAACGATCTTTTTCAAATCTCAAAGAAGGAATTGTGCATGAAGAATCACTAAAGAAGCCTTAATTTTCAAAATGCTCATCTAAATTCTTATTAAAAATTCTAATTATAATGAGAAATGATCTTATCACTCAGAATAAAGTGAATCTTATGAAAGGAAAAGAAAGAATGTCTTGCTATTTGAAACCATTGTAAACTTATGAAATATGTTATCTTCAGTTGAGCAAACTTCTTATAGTTAACAGCCAAAATTTGTCTCTAGAGAAAATCAAGTATACTTTTATAAATTGTGACATTTATGGTATATTAATTTAATCACTTTTTGTTATTTATATTGGAAACTGCTGGACTGGCATGATACATATTCTTGGTATACGTTTGCCAAGAAAATAAATGCAGGGACTTGAATGAATTAGTCTTTAAAGCCCTTGAATAAAAATGAATTTACAGAAAAATATAAAGATATTTTAGAAAATAGAATAAAAACTTTTGAGAAAACTTAACTGTAAACTCTAATGCTTCAGTAACTAAGGAAACCACAAATGTAAGTAATCATAATTTAGAAATAGAAAATGGTGGATGATTTAAAATTCCTAGAAAGTATAGAATTTGTTAAAAGTGCCACTTGCTGGACGATAAAGAACAATTCCTCCTTGATTGTAAAATGTACAAAACAACTTAGAGATAATCTATTTGAAAATTTTTTACCTTCACAAAATAATGTCTTTTACCCATGTTATCCAAGAACAAAAAGTAAAAGAAATGCTAAACCTCTATAACATGGAACATGTTTAAAATATTGGCTCCTTTATAAAACGGTCCTTAGAACTGAGGGCAAAAGTCTAATAGTTTTTTTCCATGTGTTTAGAACTGTTATTTCTTTGCATTATAATATCTGGTTTGGTTTGTTTTTGTTTTTGTTTTTTTTTTTTGGAGGGGGGGGGGGGGAGGTTGTCACAAACTAATTAGTTTGCATTATATAAGAAGATAATATTCATTTATTCTTTGCTTAATACATTTAAAAAATAATTGAATTGAACAGAATTATTTAAAAGGTTTAACATGAAAAAAAAAAACAATCATGAAACTTTTTTTTTCAAAATAAGTATCATTAAGCTATATGGTCAACTAGTTTTATTATTTTATTTTATAATTGAATATTCTTGTCATAATCACAGTGATTAGATTTGACATACACATTTATTTTACCTGAGACTCTTGAACGGTAAGTTATATAATATGAACACTTCAATGCAGTCATGATTTCCCTTCATCCTCGGCAATTTTTTTATGTATACCTTGTGTATTAAATAAGCAACAGGGGGTATAATGATAGACATATAGGGTCATCATGGTGGGCACCGTTTTTATGTTAAACTAGTTTTAAAAATAGAATACTCCAATTATCTTTCAAGTCAACAGTTGTTTCACTGTTTTAAACAACTTTTTGTTGACCAATGAAATTATTTTTAATCATGTGAAGCATTACTACTAAATGTTAACAATTCAATTTTATGTGTAAAAATGTCTACATGGTTGAACTCCTGTCTATTTAGAGGTCAAGTTAGAGAATTAGTCATTCAATGTGAATAATAGGTGTAAATTGTTAATCGAAATTGTAACTTCTACAGAAACATGGCATCATTAAAGCTTTATAATGTTTAAAATTGACTGTATATTTTTTTAATCCTGACCACTTCAATGGATAATAAGCGTTGTAGTCTAAAGTAAACTTTTCAAATGTGGCACATAATAGTAACACTAGTACCATGTTAGTTTAATTGAAAGTTACTGAAAGAACTACAGGATAGATAACACACTACATGTAGAATGCAAAGGATTAATGATCAGAAAGTTTTATTATGTGCACTTTAATACAAAAAAAAATGTTACACAATGGAATGGAATTTGTTTGGCATATGTTACAAAATACCAGAAAAATGGAACACACCCTGATGTTATGTCAATTCTCCATAGTTCAAATGTTATAGATGGAAAACTACTAAACTAAACTTAGAGATTGTGGGTTTTTCTGTATCAAAATACTTCCGATGTGTTTGAAGTTTTTCTGAATATATCAGGGACTATAATAGTGTAAATTGTCCCAGCACATATAAATATTTTAATGGTTCTCCTTTCAGAAAATAAATGTCCATTACTCTATAATTAGTTTTGAAACAATGTATCTGAAAACCATTAAATAATACTGAATATAATCCAATATTATATTGTCATAAAAAAAATGACTTTAACATTGTTTAATGGCTTGGCCAATTTGACGCCAACCCAATCAATAATGAATAAAGCCGAACAGAAAATGTAACGAAACTATTAAAAATTCCCTAACATACACTTTAAAGATGTAAAATGCATACCTTCGAATTATCACAATAATATATACCCAAAGAATATAACCGGAAAAAAATTAAAGGCATATTTAAAAGTATTGATCCGTAACATGATCAGAGGTAACGGTAATTTCCTATGTGTTTTAAACATTAAAGGTGCATACAAAAATGTCCAAACAGACGTTCCATGTATATGGTGGAAACTATTCCTCAGAAGAGAAATTTAAAAGTTTTCTAAATTTTGTTTCTCTTTGTTTTTTAAGGTATGCCGATAATGGCGACGGTAAATATGTTGAGATTGTCAACATTGACCAGGTAATAATATTGACTTGTCATGTTTACACTATTCTTCTTTCAAATTTAAAAAAAATCTATACCCTTGACTTACCATTCTTAAAAGAAATATTACTAAACATATCGTTCCAGATAACTATGTCCTAGTCGTACTTCATCTGAAACTTCAAACACACTGGCAAGCAAGATAAGTTCAAGTGACACATGCGTATATTGTATGTGGACAAGATTTATCGAACATGTTCATTAACCAAGCGAAAATCAGTTACCTTTCTTTTCCTGAATTGAAATATATATTCTAAATAACATGGGCATCTACATTTCATAGAAGGACACTTTTCAAATCGTACTTAATTTTTTTTTTCAATCTGAAAATAGTTATCAAAGGTACCTGGCTTAAAATTTGATACGCCAGTCGCGCGTTTCGTCTACATCAGACTCATTAGTGACGCTCAGATCAAAATAGTTAAAAAGCCAAACAAGTATAAAGTTGAAGACCAAATCCATGGTTTAAAAATTCGAATGTTTTTATGTCTGTTTAGTCCGGCACTGTTGTTTTATTCCATTTAATAACCAAACATTGTTTAAATAACACATAGATCTACATGAACAGCAAATAAAACAACAAAAATGTGTAAATAAAAGTCGGAATGTTTGCTCAAATATAGATAACCTAAGATAGATGAACAATTCACAGTAACATGTAAGTCATAATTATTACAACTCAGTATTATTATTTAACAAATACGATTTAAGCAAACATTTCACTTTTTAAAATCTTCCTTGATATTTGAAGACATGTTAACATGTACTTGTACGAAATGCGTTAGTATTTATTAACTTGACGAGCTTAATAGCAGGTAACTGCAGGGGCCAAAAACACAAGCAACATCAATGCCATATAGTATGTTAAGATAGGCCCCGGTATGACATATTGAGAAACAATTGAGAAAAATATCGTTTTGTTTATATACTCCAACAATGAACGGAAAACACATCAGATGCTAAATTTTTGCAGTAGTATTCAATGTCATTTGAACCTAGAACAAAACCCAATTATAATTTCTTTTGCATTGGTAGTTACTTTGATGTTTTCATGTTTGTTATTCGGATATCAAATAATTACTAAATTTGATTTCATTTATAGATATCAATAAAGGCAATAGTAGTATACCGCTGTTCAATAGTCATATATCGATTTAACTGATACAAATCCGGGCCACAATAAAATCCGAGGGAACATATAATCTACATGTTTTCGAGAAAAAACAACGGAACAAAAGAAACATTCTTTCTTTCATAGTTTTTTTTTACATACCTCATGCCGCTGTGCTTCTCGTTTGAAAAGTTTTACATGTAGTCATACCAAAACCTTTTATAGCTGACTTTAAGGTATATGTGTTTAGTTTTGTGTTGGAGGTCGCACAGACTCCCTATTAATGCTTGCATGTACCTTGTTTGGTCCTGGATGGATATTTCTCTCATTGGCAATCAAACCATATATTCTGTTATGATATTAAATGTCAAGCAGTATAGAAAAACTCCACGTATTCGCACAACTTTTAACAGTTCGAGATTGCTATTGTGTCTGCAGCAAGTTCTTAAAATTCGTCAGATGTCAGGGTAAAATTGATTAACAATAAAATTCATTACTTGAATATTAAAACTGCGATTCTAAACTGATGAATGTCGCCCTTTGCCATGCAAGATTATACATATTTGAAAGCATTCTTTATTCTTAAATTCTGAAATCATTAATACACAGGAAAGGCGATTAGGGTGTAAAATCAGGTTAAAGGTATTCCCTTTTCTCCTCTATAGTTTAAAATAAATTATAAATGTTTGTGTAGAAGATTTGATTACGCCTTCAAAACAAATTACATTTCTAACAAATCTGGAAATCACCAATAAATTTGTCAAACTTTTGATTATGTTTTTTGCTATTTAGTTATGAAAACAGTCTATCCGTTTTGTTTTTTTTATCACACGCACTTAAATGTTGGAATATCCTTTTAGGCAAGGACTTTATTCTTATTTTCCAAAAGTAAAATATGCAATGCGCAATATGTACGTACAAAAAAAGTACTGTGATCTAAATGGAGTCAATTACATATTCTGAATGAAATTTGGAGAGACATGCTGTTTTTGGAAATAAATAGGCTGGCTTGATAATTTCGAACTAAAAAAAATTAACTTGTCGCAAACTGATTATTCTGCCCCTCCAAACCGTGTATGATATAGTAATGTATACGACAACAGACTTATGCGAAAATTTAACCTTCGTAGCAGTTGTTTATAATTTTATAAAAAGATCAGTTTATTTAACCCTTACCGCTCGGCAAATAGATGCTTTCCTACAAGAGAACTTGCTCATTAAAATCTGCAATTTGCTTTACTGGTGAAAATTAAACTGATAGTTATCTCGCAAATCCATATTTCTAGCAAATTGTAGAGCGATGAGACACACATACAAATTGTGTTTTTGTGTCAAACCACAAAATCTCGTTGTTGTCAGTGAGTGTTTTTATGAACTAATCTGCGAGAGAAAGGCTTACAAAGCATGTTACAATAGGACTTGCATTGTTTTATACATTTGTGTAGGGTTCTTAAATTTGATCAATCAAAACAAACAAAATGTTCATAGCAACTTTGAATATTTCAAAATTAAGACAGTTTAAGAGAACTTCTTTAACTTCACTGCATAGACGTTTGATATGTGCATTATTTGAAAGTGATTCATCGAATACTGAACATTATGCGATGTATTTTGAATACTAGAGCTATGCGAAGTACACGGCAATGCAACAGCATCTTAAACAAGAGATTTATTAATGAATTAGGCTATAAGTGTTCTCGATAGAAATGTTTCACTTATTGCATGTCGGGGTTCTATGACTGGTTATACAGTATATGTGATTTCATTGTTGAATGCCGTACGGTGACCTTTAATTGCTTTTATCTTTGTTATTTGAACTCTGTTCGCTAGTTTCATTGGCACTCATACTACATCTCCTGATGTTTATATATAAAGGTACGAATAAAGATTTCAATACTATTTTGCCATTTCATAATCACAGGAAGTCAAAGTAATTATGAACAGATCCTTACCAATAAACGCTACCAAAGAACTGCTATAAGGTATTTTGCTCGCACGTGCATATTTTTGTAATAGGCAATCATACCTCATCTTTATATATTGATCATTTCTCCAAACATAACAATTAATATATGATATAAGACCATTATACTTACAGTTTTCATTAAATTAGACAAGTTAATGATACTTTGTGTCCTAGAGTTAAGTCTTGTATAGATGACATATATTCTCCCACTAGAAATATCGGTCTGCTGACTAACTAAAGGTTCATAAAAGAACATACGATATAAATAGATTTATTTTAGTATTTTTTAGTTAAGCTATAATATTTCTTTCATATTATAACATGTATATTTTTTTATACTGCATTTTGTCATAATAAAGTAAAATAACAGAAATACCGAACTCCAGGAAATTTCGAAACGGAAAGACCTTTATCGAATGTCAAAATCAATTACATCAAATGAATGAAAAAAAACATTTTCACATTCCTGACTTGATACATGCAATATCTTATGAAGAAAATGGTGGATCACAACAGAGGGGTAAAAGATACCGAAGGGACATTAAAATTCATTAATCGAAAAATAAACTGACAACGCCATGGCTAAAACATAAAAACACAACATAGGTAACTAAGGACAAAGCAAAACGAACCCCACCAAAAACTGGGGGTGATCTTATTATCTTTATGGCTACGTCAATCACTGCTGCTTATATTAAAACGTTAGTTATAAGGTCAAATTATGTTGCAGTTAATAAACAGTGCTTGCGTTTTTATCTGAACTGAAAGAGGATACGAAAGACGAAACACTAATATGAACGAGGAAATTAAAAACAAAATTGACTGAAATGTGTTGAGAACATTTTATGTTTATTTTCAATAGATTTGTTACGTATTTACTTCATATGCTCAAAAACAGTCGTTTTCAAGTGACTGCAAAATTTTTTTGAACAAATTAAAATCTAAATGTATCTCAACATAATTGTTGGAGGTTTGGAAAAATATATATAACATATGTAGTCAGACATCAAAGTATATATTAATATATTTTATATAACCGTACATGTAGTTCGGATATCAAAATACTCCAATATTTTGCAATGTTGCTTGCAAGACTATAAATACTGTGTAACTGTGTACTTTTGCGTGTGGAACCATGATTTGTGTCGTGTTTGTTATTTGCTTTAAGTTTACTTTCAAGAAGCAAAAATCATGAAGGGTTATAATGTCATGATTCTAGATAACATACATGAATTACATTAAATAACATTAAAAACATCGAATGACTTGATAACTCAATATAGGGTTTCACTTCCAGTTTTGATATGTTTCTATATGGCATTGCCTAGTAGACATGAGTTTTAATATCAAAACAGGTATAAGATAATAACCTCCTTCCTAAGTTCATGACCATTTAAGTTTCATGGTGTCTGTGTACTATGAAAACGGTCAAAATAAACATGAAAATCAAGATGTTTCATTGCTACATTTGAAAAAGTAACTTTATATGATTGTCAATAAGTTTTGTATTTATAAATAATTACAATGAAAAAAAATCCGCATGGATAGCTTATATAATAATAGATATTGGATACACATACTTTACATTTTTTTTTTATTCAATTAAAACAAAACACCAGGCAGTCATACATGTACTATGTTTGTCAATAGATGAAGAAGATAACGTATCTCACAATTAGCGAAACGACGCCGAATAAAAAATAGAAAAGAAATGCTAAAATACAAATATTCGAAAGTGTAAATGTTCACACTAGCCCAGTGAAATTTCGATGTTTACGTGTTTCTTATTTTATTGAATTCATATAGAATTTATTGTTTTCATACCCACGCCACAGTATCTGGTGGATGGGCATGATTGGAATAGTTACTTCTTTATTTATACTGTGAATATTCATATACATAAGTTCTGTTCGTTAACATTTTGCATGATACATGTAGCAGCTAAATTAAAGTAATAGCCACTCAAATATTTGCGAATGATCACTTTTGTATTTGTTTATTTCGTCCTATAATAATTAGTAAAACGGGTACATGTCAAAAAGGTCATTTAACGATAGTAATGGTTTCATTATGAAGCGAAATTTGTTTGTAA